AAAGGGCCAATGTCCTCATTGCTGCCTCCCCGGTGGCGCAGCGGTTGAGCGCTGGGTTGCGAAGCTGCCCGCAGCCTCTGCGGCGCCTGTTCGATCCCCGGCTGCTCCCTGGCCACTGGAGGAGGGTCCCACATGGCGCGCAGACCTCTCCTGCCGCCCGCTGCTCCCCTCAGCAGTGTACTTCAGTCCTTCTGCCTGCTCTGCTCCCTGCTCTGGCTCTGGTGAATTCTCTCACGCTCCCGTGTTCTGACTGTACCCAGTGCTTGTATAAACAAAAAACAAACAAACAAATAAATAAATAAAACAAAAACATGCGTCTATAAAAAAAATGTAAAATGCCATTTAAAAAAAAATAAAAATCTTACCTATCTTTGTGTTCTCCCCTTCTAATCTAAGCAAAGTGGTTCAAACCAGAAATTACCTAATTAAAAGTGTAGGACTAGGGGAATTGTCATTTTGTTGAGCATCTGTGCCTCCCTTGATGGGAATGTTTTCCAGTGAGGTCATTTCTCAGTGAAGTGTGCCTTGATGGCCAAAGAGTCAAGTGCATTTTCATGTATCTGGAGGTTGGGTTTCATGGAAAGGGGTTGGTTGGTTTGTCTTTACTGTGCATTTAACAATTAGGGTGAATCACTGAAATCATATTGGTAAGATGTTTGCCAGCTAAAAGAAATAATGGAATTAAAAAAAATATTAATTGAGACACAAAGTGTGTGTGTGTGCGCGCTTGTGCACTCAAACTAGGACTTGAAAGGAATACTTGATCAAGATATGGACTGTTGTGTACTTTTCCTATTTATTAATATTTAACAATGATCTCTGAAGGAAATGCATAGCGATCTATATAATGCTCATTTTAAGTTTTAAACTGTGTTGTTATTCCTATTGGTATTTGTATGTGATCTTGAGTAGTTCAAAAGGCATTTTCAGGACTTGTGATCAAGAAGTTTGCCAGCAAAGACTTTATGCTCTTTTTCTGCTGAAACGCTTTCCTTTGTACCTCAAGTCTTCACTTGTATATCCTTTTAGACCTGTCTTTCCTATAAATAAAAGATCAGTTAGTAATTTACAGGGACTAAATGAACCTACTCAGTAGAGCAAAGTAATTATTATCCTCTTGAAGGATATATTTATTTACCTTTTGTTTTCTTTTTTTGTTTGTTTCCTTTTGACAGAAGACTTTCAGGTGAGATTGCTCATGATATTAACGAATGTGATGTATTTTGATATAACAAATGAAATGTGTTGGTATTTAGAAGATCTGCATAACTCAGTAAATCAGCATTTTTTTTTTTTTACAGGACTAATGTATGTTGGTTCAAAGTTACATATGAGTGAAATTATCCGGGTGCAGATAAGCACATGGAATTTAATGTGAGAGTGTGAAATATTTATAAATAAATCAGATTCCACATTGCAGCTGTCCTTTAAGAAACTACCCCTTGTTGAGTTTTGGTATAATATCAAAGAGAATATCCAGAATGATTTGAAAAGCTATTAAAATATTCCCTTTTTAATGTACATATTTGAGTGAGACGATTTTCTTCATATATTTAAGCTAAGACAACATACTGCAATATTGAATACACAAGCAGATATTGAAGAGATTTGCAAGAATAATAAAACAATGCCATGCTTTTCACTATTTATTTTTGAAAATAGTTATTTCATTAGAGATGTTTTCATGTTAACAGGTAGTAGGTTTGTTATTTTAAATGAATGAATTAATAAATATTTAAATATTAGTTTCACTTTTCATATAGTTAATGTAATATATACACTCATACAGAAGCTCTTTGAGGGCTACAAGATTTTTAATTGTATAAAAGGTTCTTGAGACCAAAATGTCTTGTGTACAGGGACTTGGAGCCAAATTGCTAAGTGTGAAATCTAGTTTTATTATTTAATAGTCTAGCGACCTTGCATATAATGCTGAAATGCTTTTTGCCTCAATTTTCTTATTTCTAAGATGGCATAATAATATAACTTATAAGATTGCCATAAGGATTAACTTGAGCACATGGAAAGTTCTGAGAATTTATGTAGCATTTAGCAAGCTATGTAATTGTTGCCTTTTGAACATTTGTAGTGTTTTGATGTTTCCTTTATATGGTAAATTTCTAGATTTCTAGAGATTGGGTGTTTTGGGGTATTAACATGGTCTGAGTAAAATCCTTAACCTCTACTTTATCCCTTTTCCCTCCAAGTCGGTGATTTTTAACCTTTGTTGCACATTAGAATCACCTGGGAACTTTAGTAAAAATCCATGCAACCCCAAGACATGCCTCAGTTAATTCATTGAAAGCAGAATCTGGAGATGAGAGGTATATTTGTAAGCCTCTCCCGCTGACTTCACTGTGAGGATTGCTTATTACTGCTCTGAAGCCTGACCCTCTGCTCTGAGAGTGTTTTTCCCTTCAGTGTTTTCACATTGTGGCTAATTTCCCTCTCATCCCTCTTACGCTGCTCCTGCCTGGAGGTGTGGGAGCTGCCTGGTGTTCTTGCTTTTCAGTGCTGCGGCCAAGGAAATTGTCATTCCCTTTTTCCTAAATCCCCCACCCCTCCATTGCCAGCTTTGAAACTCATGCCATCAGACCCATCAGGCCCACCGCCCCCCTCCTTGTTGTTGTTAACTAGAGAACCTCTTTTCTTGACAATTTAGCGTGGGTCCTTGTTACTCTTTCAGTGTTATTGCTGTTGTCATGATTCCAGGTGGTTTAGCATTCATATGACAGATCCTCCCCAAACCCTGGCCTCTCAGTCCCTGACTTCCTTTCCTCCAGTGATCTCATCCTTCACTCTGCCTCTGCCAGGCACTCTTAATGGTACCCAAACCTTGTCAGTACAGTTACCGATCACCTCCATCATCTCAGCTGCAGCCATCCTATCCTGTGACCACACCTGCTGTCTTTCCATTTCATTATTAGTGTCGCAACTCCAACTCGCTCCAGCTTACCAAGACCCACAGTGCGTGTCCTATCACCTCTCCATGACTCTCACTTTCCTTGTGCAGTTACTTGACTTTTTCCTGGCTTCCATTCCACGGTCCAAAATTACAATCTTTGCAGTGCAAACCCTCTAAGATCTCTTGCCCCTCTGTCTTTTCCTGTTGTGCTTGTCTGGCAAAACCCCAAGCATTGAATCCAAAGCCTTCTACTCCGCATTTGCACCCAGGTAGGAGAACTTATGCTTGTTGGTCTCACTTAAAAATCACACTTCTAACCTCAGTGGGGTTCTTCGTGCTGTCTGGAATCTGTACCGCATTTTCCCTCGTCCATTTATTTTTTCTGAATGACTCTTCTAATGAGTGTTTCGCCTGTTTTTAAACTTCGACTATCCTCTCAATTCTTCCTCACTTGTACTCATTTTGTACCCTCTCTTTGTACCCTTTCTTCCTATCCCTGAGTGTGTGCAACCCCCACAGGCCAGGTAGCTTCATTTTTGGTTCTTGCAGACAAAAAGAGAATTTTGCAGCATTCGATGGATTTTTATAGGTTTATTAATTCTGAATCAAGGGAAACCAGCCTGCAGGGAGACAGCAACTTGAGTTCCCCCTCCTGCTCCTCAGTGAGGTTGCTCTTTGAGCCTGACCCTCTTGGCACAGGTGTCCACATTTACGTATGCGCACACGCGTGCTCTTGGGCCCAGGTGTCCATAATCATGTGCGGCGTGGAAGACTGCAGGTGCCGCCAGAGGCTAGTGGCAGGAGGGCATAAAAAGGCCTGATTTTTAACTTATTTATCCTACACTGGATGGAGTCTCTCATTTCTAATGCAGCCCTCTTGGAGATCCCATCTCTATTTACCTACTTGTTATTTTCTCTCCTGATATTGTCATTTAGCCCCCAACCCCCACCTTTCTACAGGGACATGCCATCAGGCTATCACATCTGAACAGAACTTTCCCTTAACCCCACACCCTAGAACTTTCCCTTAACTTTCCCACACCCCCCTCTCATTATCATGTGAGTTGTTTGTACTAGCTATCTGCACTTTCTTTAGTTCGATTCTCTCTTCAAGCCTTGACAAAAGCGCTTCTATTTCACCCAACAGCCCTTGTTGAGGCACTATTTCCTGCGCGTCACTATTCCCAGCAGTCAGTTCTCAGGTGTGTCCTGCCCATCTTAGAAATGCCATGTGACACAGGTGAGCACTTCTTTCTCCTTGGAACCCTTCCTTCACCAGGTGCCTAGGGTGCGTGTGGTGTTCTCCGCAGCATTTATTATCACACGATCTATTTCATTGCTTGTTTATCATTTCCTTTGGTCCACCAAAATGTAAGCTGCTTTGAGAGTAAGGACTTGGCTTGTTCTTGTCATCGCCTAGAACAGTGGCTCGTACATAACAGGCATTTGCTAAGTACTTGTGGAATGAGTGAACATGAACTTAAAACTGCTTATCTGTAATCAGATCACCCCCCATTCCCGGCTCCTTTTTGGGTCAGAAGCCATCACAACCATGTCCACCTCTTTTTCTCGCAACCAAGCCTTTCATAATTGTGTCTTCCTTTGTCTTTACTCTTTCCCTGTCTTTTTCAGGCTGAAAACATCACCGATTGTGCTTATATTTCTGTGGGACTCCAGTGTTTACAGAGTGTTTATTTATATCTGGTATTATAGATGCAGATGGTCTGTGGGTCTGAGTTGAATGACGTTAACATACAACGCTGAAATTAGGTGCAGATTGAAGACAATCAAAATTGTAAAAGCATAAGAAACAAATTCAGTCTTCCAGGGCTGAAATTATGGTCTTCTAGTATATTTAGATTTCATGTTTTATTACTATGCTACTTTACGCTTTGCTGTTTCTGCCTACTCATGATGGAATTCCTCCTTGATTTTCTCCAAGGATTTTTAGACGGCAGGAGAAATCACCAAGCCCAAAAGACCCTTCCAATTTTAGCTGTGACTTTATTGCTGATTAAGAATAGTCCCTCTTAGGTTTCCATCACCTAATGTGAACATTCATTTTTTAGTGGCCTTTGTTTTTTGCCTTCTGCAGAACCTGGCCTCCTGGAATCCTGCAAATCCTGAATGTCTCTTACTTGTGGTGAAGGAACTTGTGCAACAGTATCATCAGTTTCAATGTAGCCGCCTCCGTGAGAGCTCACGCCTCATGTTTGAATATCAGACGCTACTGGAAGAGCCACAGTATGGAGAGAACATGGAAATTTATGCTGGGAAAAAAAACAACTGGGTAAGGTTTTTTGGAAAAGGGGGAAAAGCCACTTCATCTGTAATAAAATAATCAGTTGAGATGTGCATTTTTAATAAACTCTGCTCATTTCCTGAGTTAACATGGCTTAGGGTTGGCTGAATACTTTTTCATAATTTTGAGTTTGAGTTTGAGGTTTGTGTGTTTTTCTGGTTCGTTGTGTTCTCAAAGGTTTTCATGTGGGACAATGGAAAATTTGGAGTCTCACCTCCCCCACCCCAGGAATTGAGAAGGCCCTGAGGACCTGCATGTAAAAAGTCTGCATGAAGCTTGTGGTGCAGCTAGCTCATGGGCCACGTTTTGGGACCACACCAGTTCTGCCTATTTCTCAGTGTAGCACATCTCCAATATCCCAGTCAGATAACAGAGTTCAGTAACTCTGGAGGGAGCTAACTTCTCTGGAACCCTTCATAAGTTCATTGTATAATTTCCTCACATTGTATGGTCCTTTTAAAATGAAGTCAGGTCCTGTCTCGCGAGCTCTGCCCAGGACTCCTGCATACTCCTCTTTTTCTCTCATAGTAAAAGTCAGAATCCTTCCAGAGGCATAAAAAGGCTCTACATGAGTACCAGCTCCGCCATCTAACCTCTCTCTACCGTTATTTCTTTCACTTCATCTCCTGCCTTCCTGTCTGAAAATACTCAGCTGCAGCCACACTGGCACCTGTGCTGTACGGCAGCCACACCAGGTATTGGTCCTGCCCAGGGTCTTTGTATAAGCTCTCCTGTTGTCTGGCATATTTCCCCTCAATATTTGCATGGCTACTATTCTCCTCTGTAAAGATTTTCCTCATACATTCACATTCTCAGCAATACCCGTGTTATCATCCCCAATTTTTAAGCAACATTTGGAGTTATAGTTGACATGCCAAAATTCACCTCCTGTAAATGTATAGTTTAATGATTTTTAATAAATTTGCCACATTGAGCAATCACCACCACAGTCCAGTTTAGAATAGTTTTGTCACCTCAGTAAGATCCCTCATGCCCATTTACAGTTAATCATATTCCTACCTCCCACTCCAGGCAACCACTGAGCTACTTTCTGTCTATATAGTTTTTTTAAAAACAACTATTTTTAAAATATATATATTCATATATTTATTTTTTCTTTTTTAAAAAATTATTTATTTATGCATACAAGAACTGGGGTACAGGCCAGAGGTGCGGGGGTGGGGTGAGAGGATTCACTAGAGACAGAGTGGGGAGCAGAACAGGCAGACTGACTGAAATAACTGCTGAGGGGAGCAGTGGGTGAGTTAGGAGAGGTCTTCTGTACCATGTGGGTATCTCCCTGGCCAGGGATCAAACTCGCTCTGCAGAGGCTGTGGATTGCTTCATAGGTTGTGTCCTAAACCCTTGCACCACCAGGGAGGCCCCATATATTTATTTTCATAAAGGTAACAGTAGTTTACAACACTGTATCGGTACCAGGATTACGATTTCTTTACCATGCCCACCACCGAATGTCCAGTCACACCTGATCTACATCAACAAGTTGGGTCTGTCTTACCATTCATTCCTCTGTTCTAAAGGTTTGTTTTTGTGTTTGTTTTCTTTGGTTTCACAAATAAGTGAGATCATACAGCATTTATCTTTCTCTTTCTGACTTATTTCTCTTAGCTTGATGCCCTCAGGGTCTAGCCTAGTTGTCACAGATGGCAAGACTTCATCTTTATGGCTGAGTAGTATTCCATTGTGCATGTTACAGCATATTCTTTGCCTGTCCTCTGTTGTTGGGCACGCGGGTTGTTTCCATATCTTGGTTATTGAGAATCGTGCTGCAACGAATGTAGAGGTGAATATGTGTTTCCATGTTAGTGTCTTCATATTCTTTGGGTAAATACTCAGAAGTGGGATTACTGGATCATATGCGGTTCTGGTTTCCACAATGGCCTCACCAGTTTACGTTGAGTGGATGAGTTTTTGTTTTTTTCCACATTCTCACCAACATTTATCGTTACTTGACTTTTTGATAATAACTGTTTTAACCAGTGTGAGGTGAAATCTCCCCAGATTTGTATTTTCCTGCTGATAAGCAGTATAGAGCATTTTCTTAAGTTTTGTTTTCTGAACGTATTGTGTAATGGATCTGACAATATGTGATCTCTTGTGACTGGCTTTTGTCACTTAGCATGCTGTGTTAGCAGTTCATTCACATTGTAGCATACACCACCAGCACTTCATTTCATTTTGTCACTGAATAGTATTCCATTTTTATCTTCTTAAGAAATTTCTATGCCATTTTCCACAGAGGCTGCACCAACTTCTTTTCCCACAACAGTAGATGAGAATTCCTTTGTCACCACAACCCCATCAACTTTTGTTGATTCCATTCTTTTATATCGGCCATTCTCACAGGCTTGCAACTGTATCTCATTTAGGTTTTGATTTGCATTTCTCTTTGGATAGTTGATGTTTGTTTGGCATTTTTTCATCAGCTTGTTGGTCATCTGTCTGACTTCTTTGGAGAAGTATCTTTAGCTCTTCTATCCATTTTTGAATTTTTTTTTGTTTGTTTTCTTTTTGTTGAGTTGGATGAATTCTTTGTGGATATTAGTCACTTGTCATATGTATGGTGTACAAATATTTTCTCCCATTCTGTAGAGTGTCTTTTCTATTAATGATATGGACATTAAGTGTCTATGTTAGTTTTGAAATTATTAAACACTGAGTTGTTTTTTTTTAATCAGTAGAAAATAGTGGTACATTGGGTTACAAGCTTGTATGTTTGTAATGAGCCACACTTATTATGTGCCTTCATGATCAGAATTTTTTAAGGTATAATTATTTTTTAAAACATTTTAGTTTGAAACAGTTAAAGATTCATAGGAAGTTACAAAATACTACTGAAAGATCTTATATATCCTTCTCCCAGTTTCCCCTAGAAGTTCCATTTTATGAATCACAGTCCATTATGGGAATAAGAAATGGACGTTGATGTAATGTATGTGTATTGTTCTTTGCCATTTTATCACATGCATGATTGCAGTAACCACCACTATAATCAAGATACAGAACCATCCTGTCACCCTAGAAATCTGCCTCCTGCTACCCCTTTGAACAGTTATTTTTTTTCCTTTTTTTAAGATTTATTTTATTTATGCATACAAGAACTGGGGTACAGGCCAGATGTGTGGGAGAGTGAGAGGATTCACCAGAGACAGAGTGGGGAGCAGAAGAGGCAGACTGATGGAAATATACTGCTGAGGGGAGCAGCGTTCCAGACAGGAGTGGTCTGCTGCGCTATGTGGGATTCTTGCCGGCCGGCCAGAATCAAACCCATGCTGCAGAGGCTGCAGACAGCTTCACAGGACTGCGCTCAACCGCCTGAGCCACCAGGGAGGCCCCCCCAAACAGATTTATTTCTAAGATTAGAATTTTAATTTTGATGAATCCCACAAAGTAGGCATTAAAGCTGTGTGTATTTTGATACAACATATTGAAATAAAAGTACATTGTAAGTTTTCTCAATGGGTAAAGCTTAAAATCTCATTTCACATGGTAACATTTCCTGCATAACTCTGTTGTATCTGAAGGATCAGTGTTTGTTAATTATAGCAAAGCGCTGTAAGGAAATTTGTGAATTTTTCTTTTGCTTTTGTTTTAATTCCCAGAACTCAAAGTTAGTTTACCATACCTACGATTTTGATCATAGGCTTTTTTCCCCCCTGATATGCATTGAATGTTTTGAGATGTTCTTCAACCACGTATTTTACATATTAAAGATCACCAGTGGGTGATCTGTGAGATAAAATGGAATTTTTTCACAACATATGTTTTCTTTTTGTGGGTATTTTCATAGTAGTGTTATATGCTTATATAATGGAGAATGTGAAGCAGTTACCTTTGGGGAGGGGTGTGTGTGTGTGTGTGTGTGTGTGTGTTTGACCTCAAATCCCAGTAGTATTTTATGAATCCATGGCTTATAAACTAAGCTCTGGCAACATCTGAAACTATCTTACAGAAAATAAAGAAGCCATTTTGTGATAGCTCCTCACTGAGTTAATGGCTTTTGCTCCTGTCAGCTCATCTTGTGATCTTACACTTGAAGGGGAAGTGCTGGGGCAGCATTAAAAGATAAGCTGAGGCATGTTGAAATTCAGATTGTTTATCTGGGCAAACATTTATTTGAAGTGGTTAGGTGCTTTCTACTAACAAGAGCTAGGGGCAAGGTTTTTATGGAGTATATAGGAAACAAAACAAGAAAATTATTTGGCTGGGTGTAGCTCAAATGGTTGTATTATTTGGAAAAGCCAAATTGACTATTTGTGATTGGTTGTCTTAATCTTGTGGCATTGATACTTGTTCACTTTAGCTTAGTCCATCACCTGGCTGAGGCACTGGAGCCACCTCAGCCCACTGACCTCCTTGTTTGATTGCTTTAACAGAAGAGTGTAAGCTGCTTGAGGACAGCTGGAAATGTATTGGAGAGGGAGTGACCTGGGAGGCAGGAATTGTGGATTCTCATTCTGTCATTAGTTTTTGTGTTTGTGTTGGGTTTGACCAAAGGTTTCTCACTTTGCTGGAGATGACTACTCTCACCCAGACATGACACAAAGATTAAATTAGATCACCTGTGTGGGAAGTAAACAAAATTAAGCAAACCGAGCTAGAAAGTAGTATTATCTTTCATACATACGTGATGTAAGTTATTATAGTAGGTGTCCAAGAAATTCTGGCTCAGTGGTTGTTCCTGTATTACCTCTTGAATTTCTATTTCTTATAAAGTTCTGTATGTGGACCAGTAGAAGCTGGTATCACCAAGGTACAGACAAAGGACAAAAGCAAGGTGGAGGGAAAGTTACTTTTTAAGAAAAAGAACGGTGTTTATTTTTTAGGAGCAGTTTTGTTGGAGTTCTGATGAGGGGAGAACAGATTTCAGGGTATCAGGAGGGAGGTGGAGAAGAGGAAGTAAAAACAGGAGACTTACACTTTATTTGAAGGACAAAACAATCCAGCTATTATCTGGAAGAGACAGT